AGGCTCAGAGGCGAGTATTGGGAGACCGCTATGTCAGCGTTCTTACCATGGTCGTTACGGCTGGGATGGTGATGACGGATGAACTCATGATGCGGATGATGATGATGATGATGATGATGATGATGGTGATGATGATGATGATGATGATGCTGATGCTGATGATGATGATGATGATGATGATGATGATGATGGTGATGGTGATGGTGATGGTGATGGTGATGATGATGCTGATGCTGATGCTGATGATGATGATGATGATGATGATGATGATGATGATGATGATGCTGATAATGATTTTTAACAGAATCGGGTCACGGGGAAAGGGGTAACTTGGGGTCAGCACGAGAGCCCTCTGCCCGCTTCGAGAGCGGAAGTGCACCGCTGAGCACTACGCACACCGTGCAGGGGCAAGGTCGTCGCCCAGCACAGGTGCGATCTGCGGGGCGCGCCGCCGCAGACCCTGATGCCACAAAAGACCTCAAGCAGCCGAGGGCAAGCGCGGGGAGCGCCAGAAGGAAAGGGGAGGGAGCCAGAGCCTACGCCCCCATCCCCTCATGCGACCCCGCGCACCCCAGCAGGCATTGCATCGAGAGGGAACGGACACGAGGCCACCAGTGGGGGAACGGAAAATGACATAAACATAAGAACTCGGAGGTCCGCGCGGAGTCCTCGGATCCGCGCTGGACCCCCTCCCTGGCGCGCGGAGCGCGCCAGGGGCGGCGCCGGAGGCGCCGCCAGGGGGCCCCAGCGCGGATCCGAGAAATCTGCGCGGACCTCTAAGTTATCATGTTTATGTCACTGTTCGTTCCCCTACACCGGGGCCCCCAGCGAAGCGAGGCAACACCCGCACCCGCGCCGACGTTGGGGCCCCGCCTCCGGCCGCGAGCCAGGCACGCGCTGCCAGTCCTCGGGCCGCTCGCGCCTCGGGAAGGCCCTGCCTCCCGCCGACGGTGCACGCTCGGGGGAGCGGGGGGGTCAGCTGCCCTCCTCACGAAGAAAGGAAAGGCAGGGCGAGGAGGAGGAGGAAGAGGAGGAGGAAGAGAAGGAGGAGGCGGAGGATGAGGAGGAGGACGAGGAGGACGTTGCCCGCGGTTCTCCGCCGAGACATTGCAGCGGGGAGCCCCCATTTCACGCTGCTGCCTCTGATTTGTTCCGTTGCATCTACGAAAACAAGTCTATAGTGGGGTAAATAAACTCTGTAGTCGATCCCCCACTCGACTGAGGGTCAACGATTTGGGGGGCAGGAGGGGAAGCATCGACCCGGAATCGGCGATACATCGCCGGCACTTCGGCGATGGGCCCCCGATGGCAAATCCACACCGTCCTGGGCAGGTTGGGGCTGTCGAGCCCCTATCGGTGACGCATGGGCGATTGGGGATCGTGGCGTCCCCCCGTGACCTACCCCCTCCTATCGTTGCCCCTGCTACCCGAGCAGTAGCCCGCAGGCCGCCGCGCTTCGCGGCCCGAGCCTGCGCCCAGGGCGCCAAGGGCCCCCCCGCACGCCCCGCGCGGCCCCGAGGAGGCACGCGGCCAAAAAAGGCCCGCCCTCGCTGGGGCCGGCACCTCCCCGAGCTTGCAGAACATGGCGCATGGGGGCCCCGCTGGCCCCGACCGAGGCTCGAGGAGGGGGACCGAAGCTCTGAGCGCGGTGGTTCAGGATTCGTGGGGGGGGGGGGGGGGGCGGAAAGTGCCGGGGGGGGGCGGGGACGGGCGCCTCTTTCGGGCCTCACAGGCTCCCTTTGGGGCCCGACCGGGCCCCATCATTGGGGGCCCCTGGGGCCCTACACAGGGCCCCTTTTCTGCAGCCCTCGTTGCTCCCCTGCCTGTCGCCTCCCCAGAGCGCGCCCCCCCTCCCGGACGCGTCCGCACCTCTCGGCGCCGGGTGCTCTGCCGGCGCGGCCGCCTCAGGCCACAGCCACGTGGACGGTGCACTAGGCGGCCCAGGCCTGCGCCAGGGCGTCCAGGGTCCCCTGCACGCCCAGCGCGGCCCCGAGGAGGCACACGCCCAGCAGGCCCGCCCTCGCCGGCGCCGACACCTCTTGGCGGCGCGCGCAGGTGGGCACGATCAAAGCTGGTGGTAAGAGCGCGCGATAAGGATATGCAAGAAGATTGGGCGCGCATGCCGAAGCTTCTCGATGGGGGGCTGGCCATCGAAGGTGGTTAAGGATGGACCGAAGATGACCAGAGAGGCAAGGATGAGATCGTCCTCACCACTCGATTTCGAGTGTAAGTGGGAAGGGAGAGGGTTTCTTAGAAAGAGGCTGATGCGTAGAAGGCGCCAGCCCTGCATCTACGGATTAGGCCCACGCCTTCTAAGAAGCAGCATCCCTCTAAGAAGTTCATCCCTCCCCCTCCCCCCTTTCTGTTCTGCGCGTGGACGAACCTCCCCGAGCTTGTAGAACATGGCGCAAGGGAATCCGCTAGCCCCGACCGAGGCTCGAGGAGGGATGGGGATCGAGCCTTCGAGTAGGGGGGCCTCGGGGAGCTTCCCTGGAACTTCAAGGGCATCCACGAAAACCCAGGATGGCCCCCAAGTGAGAATGTGGGCAACAGGGAGGGGGTGATTTCGGGTGCGGCCATACAGAATTCTGCCTATTCCTCATGGATTCGAGCGTCATCTTGATATTGTGAAACGGCCCTTTGTTCTGTATGCTCTTGCATACGAGATTATACAAAGTGGTCCCCAATTCCGCCTCGTGGGGGATGTATGTGGTGCCACTGCTGGTGTGTCCGTTAAGCGTAGGCGTCGGATCAGTAGATGCGCATGTGTAATAGTCGGCCGAAGGAAGGGAGGCCGGCCGTGCGCGCACCTTCGAACTCAACGCTAAACTAGCTGCATGCCAATGATCATGAGACGGCGCCGCCAACCATCATTTGGAGGGAAAGGGCGGAGCGGCAAAGGATAGCGAGGGGAGCGTTGGTAATGACTCTAATCGATCCCTGGCAAACCATCCCCTTCCCTAGCGCCACCCCTGCCTTTCAAACTTCCCTCTAGCAGCACACGCACGCCTTGGGGCGAGGCGAAGGGCTCGACACAGAAGGGGATCGTTTGCTAGGGGTCGTTAGGCCGCCCCCAATGTGTGCTCAGGAGAAGGGGGAACATTGACCTGGAATCATTGGCGATACATCGCCGACGGATGAGCAATCGACTCCTGAAAGCGAGACAAAAACAGCACCTGTTCAGGGTGGGGTGTCCAAGCCCCGACGGGCGATGAATGGAGGTTTTGGGGCAGATGTTTTCTGCCTCGGCATTGTGCTATTAGCGAATGCCCCCCTGCCGCCCACCCATGAGTATGGCCTCCAGGAAGCCCCCCTGCCGCCCACCCATGAGTATGGCCTCCTCCTCCATTCTTTCTTTATAAACAAATCCTCCCTGTCGCACCCCGAGACTAATTTTTAGGACGGGCCGGGCGTTTCGCCTGAGACTTCCTCACCATGTATGATCCTGAAGCTTAAACATTGGCAACAGCTTCACAGATGGAGGGCGGGTGGTTTTCAAAATATGGCTCTCGCCTTAGCACCGCGCATATTCGTTTTCAACATTTGCCATAGTTTCACGGATTGAAGGCGGGTCGTTTTCAAAACGTGGCTCTCGCCTTAGTGCCGCGCACGTGCGTTGTAACATTTTGCAAGAGTTTCACGGATGGAGGGCGAGAGGTTCTAAAAATGTGGTTTTCGCCTCAGCGCCGCGCAAATCCGTTTCGCAGATTCGCAAACGTTTCACGGATTGAGGGCGGGTCGTTTCAAAATGCGGCTCTCGCCGTAGCGCCGCGCAAATTCAGTTGAAAAAACTGCAAGAGCTTCACGGATGGAGGGCGGGAGGTGTTCAAAATGTGGTTTTCGCCTCAGCGCCGCGCAAATTCGTTTTACAAATTTGCAAGAGTTTCACGGATTGAGGGCGGGTCGTTTTCAAAATGTGGCTCTCGCCCTAGCGCCGCACAAATTCGTTTTCAACTTTTGCAAGATGTTCACATATTGAGGGCAACTCCTTTTCAAAATGTGGCTCTCGCCTTAGCACCGCGCACATTCTTGATACAAACTTGCAATAGTTTCACGGATTCCCATGATCGACATACCAGACATGGAGTTTGGGAAAGATTCACGATTTTGAGGGCGCAGCAATTACGATGATTCGCGGAGTTGAGGTCCCAGGAATGGCGTTCTGGCACGATTCAGGATCGTCAAGACGCAAAGGTCAGGTTCATCCGTGGCGTGGAAATACCGAGAATCATGTTTTGGTATGCTTCAGGGTCTTCAAACAGCTGTCTTTGAACGAGGCAGGTCCCTCTGTGGAAGCGAACCGTTGTAGGGGCATATGATGAGGGAGCTTGGGGGGAGGGTCATTCCAACATCGTTGGTGACTCTTGGGTTTACGCTGGTCCTCCTCCTCCTCCTCATCCTCCTCCTCCTCCGCCTCCTCCCTCCCATCCTCCCTCTTTTCTCCTCCTCCTCCTCCTCCTCCGCCTCCTCCTCCTCCTCCTCCTCCTCCTGCTGAACTCAAAATGACCCGACAGGGCTCCGGGAGTGCCCCGGCCTCAGATCGCCCAAGGCATTAGCCCCAGAATGGCCCAGCAATCGGCGGCAGAGGGCGTACCCGTGTGGATATGAGCGACGTCGTCATAGTGAGCGCACACCCGGTGATGCTGCAGACAGCGGTGAGGAAGTCTTGGCACCGGAGAGCAATCAGCACGATCAGCGCCACGGCCGCCATGCGGAAGGCGGTCACCTTCGGGCCCGTGTTCGGAAGCCCGGCGGAACTCTGCAGGATGGCGAAGATGGGCGCCAATATCATCGGCAAAGATCCCTGCAGCTTGATCACAAAACCGGCAGACGCAAGCAGCCTGAGCCAGGCCACACCGCGCATGTGTCGGGTTGGACGGAAGAGGGAGTTACAAGGAAAAAGAAGGGGAGCGAATTAGCTCACGTACTTAGCTCGTTTCCCTGGCGCCTCCCGGCGCCAGAGGGGGCCATGCGTTTAGGAAAGCACCCAGAGGCGGGGCCGAAATCAGCTGAGATCCCCCCTATCTCTCCCTTTCCCCCCTTCTCGTCCGACCCGAATGCGACCGCCCTGCAGGTCCTGGCCAATGTTTGACGTGAAAGGGTTCTGGACAAAGTCGCCGAAAAAATCCGCCGACTCCGGGGAGACGTATGCCGCATGCCGCGTCCTGAAGCCCGCTACGCAGGACCAATCAGCAAATCCGATCAGGAAACTGGCTCGAATCGGAGCGTGCCCTCAGATCCGGGCGACGCAGCACACATCGCGACGGATGGATTTGGGACGTTGTCGGCCTCTGAAGCTGTTTCCCGGCCCCAGGACCGTGAAAAACAAAGTGCTCTGGGCTCGCATGGAAAAGCCAGCCCCAGGGAAAGGGTTGAGATCCCTGGGGGCCGATGTCACCAAAATCATACGACGTCAGAAGAGTGTGTGCTTGTGTGTGTGTGCGTGTGTGTGTGTGTGTGAATGTGTGGTGCGTGCGTGCGTGCGTGCGTACGTGCGTGCGTGCGTGAGTGTGTGTGTGTGGATGCGAATGTGTGTGAATGTGAACGCGTGTGAATGTGAATTTGTGTGAATGTAAATGTGAATTTGTGAATGTGTGTGTGTGTGTGTGTGCGTTTGGGTGTGGAGTGTGTGGTGTGTGTCTGTGTGTATGTGTATGTGTGTGGTGCATGTGTGCGTGCGTGCGTGCGTGCGTGAGTGCGTTCGTGCGTACGTGCGTGTGTGTGTGTGTGCGTGTGGATGTGAATGTGTGTCAATGCGAATGTGATTGTGTGAATGTGTGTGAGTGTGTGCTTGTGTGTGATGCTTGGTGTGTGATGGGTGTATGTGTATGTGTATGCGTGTGTGCATGTGCAGGTGTATATGTATGTATACATGTATGTGCGTATGTGTATGTGTATGCGTATGTGTAATTATGCGTATGAGTATGCGTATGCGTGAGAATGTGCGTGTGCGTGTGCGTGTGCGTGTGTGTGTGTGTGCGTGTGCGTGTGCGTGTGCGCGCGTGTGCGTGTGCGTGTGCGTGTGCGTGTGCGTGTGTGTGTGTGTGTGTGTGTGCGTGTGCGTGTGCGTGTGCGTGTGCGTAACCGTGTGCGTGTGCGTGTTCGTGTGCGTGAGCGTGTGCGTGTGCGTCTGTGTGTTGTGTGTTGTGTGTTGTGTGTCTGCGTGCGTGTGTAGTGTGTGTGAGAGTGTGTGTGGCTGTGTGTCTGTGTATCTGTGTGTCTGTGTGTCTGCGTGTCTGTGTGTCTGTGTGTCTGTGCGTCTGCGTGTCTGTGTCTGTGTGTCTGTGTGTCTGCGTGTCTGTGTGACTGTGCGTCAGTATGTCCGTGTGTCTGTGTGTCTACGTGTCTGTGTGTCTGTGTGTCTGAGTGTCTGTGTCTCTGTGTCTCTGTGTGTCCGTCTTTGTGTCTCTGTGTCTCTGTGTCTCTGTGTCACTGTGTCGCTGTGTCTCTGTGTCTCTGTGTCTGTGTCTGTGTCTCTGTGTCTCTGTCTCTGTGTCTCTGTGTGTCTCTGTGTCTGTGTGTCTGTGTCCGCGTCTATGTCTGTGTCTGTGTCTGTGTCTCTGTCTGTGTCTGTGTCTGTGTCTGTCTGTGTCTCTGTCTATGTATGTGCGTGTCGGATCGGGCCGAAGGCGTCCCCAGAACGGCCGGGAATGACATCTCGAGGAGGAGGAGGAGGGCAGGATCAGTTAGCATCGATTCGGGAATTCGGATCGAATTGAAATGTGCGCCGGGTCGGGCCGCGCATCGGACTGGAGTCGAAATCGAATCGGACCGTCCGCGCCCCGACGCACAACAGCGCCCGTGCGGGAGCCGGGCCGCAATCGGATCCTTGGGACATCGGAAGCAAAGCGGACAGGGCCAGGTGAAATCGATGTCGGATAGGATCGACCTGATCGAAGTGGAGACTGCGGCGAGGAGGGGGGGCGATTTCACAGTTTGCCCCAAGCGCTCGGCAGCACAGGCGTGAGAAGACCAGAAAACGCGGAACCCCCAGGGCCTCCAGGAGGCCGAAGCCAGCTTTGAATTTGGGGGAGAAGGGGGGGGCCCAACGCGGGGTCGAAGACGAAGGGGTTCCGCTTCTTTGTCCCCTTCGTCTCGTCCTCGTCGTCATCGTCCTCCTCCTCCCCATGCTTGCATGCTCTCGGCGCGCATTTGGCGCGTCCAGGCCGTTTGGCAACGCGTTTGGCGTACAATCGTCTGCTGCTGCGCATTTGGCGTGGCGCCCTGCTTCTCTTTGCCCACGCGCATTTGGCGCATGGCTGCGTCTCTTCTTTGCCTACGTGCGCATGTGTGGGGCGACGCACACATGCAGTGCGGGCGCGGCCGCAAGAGACCTTCGCGAGAAACCCAACCCTGAAGACCCGCGCGCGAGGTGTAAACCCGAGCATCCTGAACGCAGCAGCTTCTTCAACGGTTGCGGGAAGTCACCGCGCGGCGCGCGGACCGAAGCAACCCAGGTCACGTCGACGAAAAGCAGATGGTTTCTTGATGCGCGCCCCCACTGCAGTATTAGTATGTTGGGGTGACGCCGAGCGGAGACTGCGGCGGGGGGGGGGGGAGGCGGCGGCGAGGACTCCAAGGGGTGGGGGTGGGGCGCGGGGGGGGGGGGCCCGGGAGGGGCCCGCGAGCGCACGGGCACCGCGGTGCGCCCCTGTGCGCCCCGGGGCACGTCGTGAGGCCTGCTCCTCTGGAGGCACAGAGACATACTAGTACTCGATGTCTCCCTTGGAGTCCCCCCTGGGGGGGGCGTCGCACATCTAGTATGAGTATGTTGGGGTGGCGCCGATGCTCCTCTGGAGGCACAGAGAAAGAAGCCCGAGGAGCCTGGCAGGGTGGCGTGAGATGCCTCCCTTGCACGCCACGAAAGTACAGACACGAAGACACCCTCCGAGGAACTCTGCACGTGTCTTCAGGGAGGTGACGGTGTATCAAGCTGCTGGCTCCTAGTGGTGACTTATACACCACGCCGCCCTCCCCTGGGGCCGCGGAACAATCCGCTGGAGGGTGTCTGTGTAGTTTCGCTTGCGGCGGATGTTGCAACGCAAGCCGCAAGAAGCCCAGAGTTGCGACGAGTGGTTCGGAGAAAGTGCCCAGGCTTGCAGGATCAGAGACGACTAAATGATTGTATTTGACGTGTGTTTCCTTTGCTCTGTGGGTTTCCATGGCTTCAGGGGGGTCTTTAGAAAGCTCGAACATGGCCCAGGGTCTAGAAGCCGACGGCCCAATGCGGCCCCAGAGGTGGTCCACGACGAACCAAAGGGCCCCTAGAGAAGCCCCAAACTGCGAAGTAGACGGAGAGGCTACCAGCAAACAAGGCGCCTCAGTAGAAAGCACCCAGCCCAGCAGAGCCACTGCCAAACTGCACGACACACCGCATTGATCGTCGGACTCAGAGCGGATGGTGCGCTAGCCTGCTGCATAGAAGCCCAAGACGCTGACACCCAGATAGAAGACAAACGCGTAAGCGAAGCCTCCCACACAGGCGCGGCTAAACTTCGAACGGTCTCGCATGCTCCAATATACTGACGGGAGACAGGGGTGCCCCGCGAAGCAATAGATGCTGAGGCCCATGGCTGTCAGAAGGCCGCCCGCGTTGAGATCTGAGTGGTACGTCTGGTAGTCTGGACAGCGGCCTTCTTGCAGGAGCAGCCCGCCCGTTGCGACAAAGGATCCCGACGCACCGAAGATCGCGAATATGCTGACCATCGAGATATACGCCAGAACTTTCATTGGCGTGTACAGCATTATGAACGCTAGGATGCCAGAGCCCACGATGCACCAGGAGGCAGACACGCCAGTCAGTATGTTCATGTTGATGCCAATATTCACGAAGAACGCCTCGAGGGCCATCCATAGCTCCGCGGTGAAGATTATGCCAATGAGGGCATGCCCCCGGGGCCCGAAGGCCAGGTACGCGAGCGCCGCGAAGTCGCGGGACTGCATCGGCACCTTGTCGTCCCTGAACCGAGCCTCGGTTGCATCGAAACCCCACCCGATGAGGAGGCCAGTGAGCAGCATCAGGCCAGACACCGCGGTAAGCACGACGGCGGCCGACCAGCCTGCCGCACGGAACGCGAAGGGCATCGACAGCATGGCGCAGCCGACGAGGACGTTGCTAATGGAGGAGATGGCCTCCCGCTCTGTGAGGACGCCCTGCTCGTCGATCTCCTCGCTGCCCTCGGCCGGCAGCGCTTCCAGGGCGTCCAGGACCGAGCCGTGCCTCATCAGCAGCTGCGCCCTGTCGCCCCCGCTGGGGGACGGCAACACCTTGGCGGAGCGCTGCAGGGCCAGGCCCCCCCAGATGCCGAAGACGCCCGAACCTTAGGGGGCGGCGAGCTGTATAAAATCAGCTGTTCCGCCGTCGGGGACGCCTGCCCTCCGGGCGGCTACAATCTATATATATATATATATATATATATATATATATTATGTATATGTATGTGTGTGTACATATATATATATATATATATATATGTATATCCCTGCGTTGACACCGTAGGGTAAAACTCTGCAGCCGCCCAGGGGGCAGGCGCCCCCGACGGCGGAGAGGTATATCTGCAGGTTCCAGGTGCATAGGGTGCCTGGTGCCTGTTTGTGTTCCTTTTAATCAGGAAACCAATTCGAAACCACCCCTACGCATTTCACTTGTTTTGTTTTTCTCTTTCTCTCTCTCTCTCTCGATCTTCCTGTTGGAAGCCTCCGCCTTTGAAAGAGGGATTCCTATTGAAAACCTCTACAAAAGGATTCCACTTGAAAGGCTTTACAAAAGGATTCCTATTCAAAGCCTGTGCAAAAGAATGTTTAATAAAAGCTGATACAAAAGGATTCCGATTGAAAGCCTCTACAAAAGGATTTCTATTGAAAGTTAAAACAAAAGGACTCCTATTGAAAGCCTCTACACAACATTCCTAGTGAAAGCTTCTACAAGGATTCGGATTGAAGATTTCTACACAAGGATTCCGATCGAAAGCATCTTCACAAGGATTCCGATTGAAATCCCGCACAAAAGGATTATTAGTGAAAACCTCTACACAAGGATTCTTATTGAAAGCCTCTTCAGAAGGATTCCTGGTGAAAGGATTCCTATTGAAAACCTTCGACGAAAGCAAAAGGGTTCCTATTGAAAGTCCCTGCCAAAAGGATTCCATTGAAGCCTTTGAAGAAGGATTTCTCTTGAAGGCCACTACAAAAGGATTCCTATTGAAAGCCTCTACACAAGGATTCCGATTGAACGGCTTTACAAAATAGTTATTATTGAAGGCCTCTACAAAACGATTACTATTGAAAGCCAATGCAGAAGGATTCCGATTGAAAGCCAATACAAAAGGATTCCTAGTGTAATTGAAAACCTCTACAAACGGATTCCGATTAAAAACCGCTACAAAGGGATTCCTAGTGAAAGCCTGTACAAAAGGATTCTTCTTGAAATCCAATACAAATGGACCCCGATCAGAAGCCAATACGAAAGGATCCCCATTGAAAGCATGTACAAAAGGACGCCGATCGAAACCCAACACACAAGGATTCCTTTTGAAAGCCAATACAAAAGGATTCCTAGTGAAAGCCATTACACAAGGATTTTGACTGAAAACGTCAACATAAGGATTCCGATTGAAAGCCTCTACAAAAGGATTTCGGTTGGAAGCCTCTACAACCTCCTCCTCCTCCTCCTCTTCCTCCTCTTCCCCCTTCCAGCGGAAGGCCATAAATTTGAGGAAAATAAGCCTGACGAAGGACCCAACCATATGCAGTTGTGAATACCGCAATTGTGAGTACCATCTTCGCCCGCGCTCCCTATGGGGCCACGAAACGTGCGAGGGGTGTGCCAAAATGGGGCGCGTACCGCATGCGGGCTGCGCCACTGGGATCTTGGGTGGAGCTCCCTATGGGGCCATGAGGGGTGTGCCAAAATTGGGCGCGTACCGCATGCGGGCTGGGCCACTGGGACCTAAGGTGGAGCTCCCTATGGGGCCACGAAACGTGTAAGGGGTGTGCCAAAATTGAGCGCGTACCGCATGCGGGCTGGGCCACTGGGACCTTGGGTGGAGCTCCTTATGGGGCCACGAAACGTGTGAGGGGTGTGCCAAAATTGGGCGCGTACCGCATGCGGGCTGCGCCACTGGAGCCTACGTTGGAGCTCCCTATGGGGCCACGAAACGTGTGAAGGGTGTGCCAAAATTGGGCGCGTACCGCATGCGGGCTGGGCCACTGGGACCTTGGGTGGAGCTCCCGCCACGAAACGTGTGAGGGTGTGCCCGCGCGTACCGCATGCGGGCTGCGCCACTGGGACCATAGGTGGAGCTCCCTATGGGGCCACGAAACGTGTGAGGGGTGTGCCAAAATGGGCGCGTACCGCATGCGGGCTGCGCCACTGGGACCTTGGGTGGAGCTCCGTATGGGGCCACGAAACGTGTGAGAGGTGTGCCAAAATTTGGCGCGTACCGCATGCGGGCTGCGCCACTGTGGCCTAAGGTGGAGCTCCCTATGGGGCCACGAAACGTGTGAGGGGTGTGCCAAAATGGGGCGCGTACCGCATGCGGGCTGCGCCACTGGGACCATAGGTGGAGCTCCCTATGGGGCCACGAAACGTGTGAGGGGTGTGCCAAAATGGGGCGCGTACCGCATGCGGGCTGCGCCACTGGGACCTTGGGTGGAGCTCCGTATGGGGCCACGAAACGTGTGAGAGGTGAAGATGATGGTGGGAGGGAGGAGGGGAGAGAGGAGGAGGAAGGAGAGGAGAGGAGAGGAGGAGGAACGCGGGGCGCCGTCTCTTGAAAACGAGGACCCAACACCACAGGATGGTTGGGAAAAACTGAAGTGATGGAGGCGGAAACCTTAGAAAAACCATTTCAAAATCCCGTCCGCCCCAAAGAGGAGGTTACATGAGCGGGCGGCATTGCTTGGAAACTTTGGCTTTCGGGTCTGTTTTTGTTTGTTCAATGGTTTTTCCAAAATTCAGCCTCCAACACTTCAATTTCTTTGTTTTTTTTATCACGGTTTTCCAAATGTTTTGGCGTTCCGCTGGAAGGGGGGGAGGAGGGAGGAGGAGGAGGAGGAGGAAGAGGAGGAGGAAAGTTTCGCGCAGGAGGAGGGAGCGCGTTTCTGCATGTTCGGCGAAGACGGGCGTCATGGGGGCGAAGGGATGGGGGGGCGGGGGGGTATGACGTGACGCCCCCCCCCCGCCGTGTGGCTCCGGCACCACAGCCGCGCCCGCGCGCACGACGCGACGAGCGACGAGCGACGAGCGACGAGCGACGACGACGACGCGAGCAGCATGTAAGTGGCGATCTGCTCTTTGCGCCTGTGTACACCACAACGCTCGCGTGCACCACACCGCGCGTGTGCACCACAGCGCCTGCGTACACCGCAACAGCCGTGTGTAACGCACCGCCCGCGTATACCACAATACGTGGGAGCACTACAGCGCTGGTATACATACACCGCAGCAGCCATGTGCAACACAACGCCTGTGTACACCACTGTGCTTGCGTGCACCGCAGCGCCTGTGCACGCCACAGCGCTTGTCTACACCACAGGATCCGCGTGCAACGCAGCGCTGGTGCAAACAACAGTGCCTGCGTGCATAGGACAGATAGAAGGAGCATGTACGTCAGGATCTGCTGCCCACAACTAAACGCCACGCCAGGAAAATTCTGATAATCGAATGCGACGTTTTTCCCTCTTCCCTCCTCCTCCTCCACCTCCTCCTCCTCTTCCTCCTCTTCCTCCTCCTCCTCCTCCTCCTCCTCCTCCTCCTCCTCCTCTTCCTCCTTTTTACCCCCTGTCGTGCAGCTTGGCGTACAACGGACGTGCGCATCTCAACGTGCACCGCAGAATGGTCGATTGAATCGGTCCACTTGGTTCTCGGACGGCCAGTTTAGCTGGAGCCTCCTGGACGCAAATGGGAGTTAGGGTGATGCGGGCGGACTCGGGGGGACTCGTAGATTCCAGCGGCGCTCCTTCGTCCATGAGGATTTGTTTTCCATTGTTTCTCTGGACCCCACACGCACTCCATTATGTCACAATTCCTTCTGATATTCTATACACAACAATGGTGTTGTGTTGCACACGGCTGATGTGGTGCACACGCGCGCCGTGGCGTACACACGCACTACAATGCACGCAGGCATTGTGGTGTACACTGGTGCTGTGTTGCGCACGGCTTATGTGGTGTACGGAGGCGCTGTGGTGTACACAGGAACTGCTGTGCCCGCAGGCACGGTGGCACAAACTGACGCTGTGTTGCACGCGGCTGCTGTGGTGTACATTGCATTGGCGGTGTGGTGTGCACAGGCGCTGTGGTGCACGCGGGCACTGTGATGTACACAGGCGTTGTGGTGCATATCGCCACCTACATGTTCGTGCTACCCGTCCTCCGTCATTCCTAAACGTTCCCAGACGCCGCCAGCGCGAAACGTGACGTCATCGACCCCCTCCTCCCCCAGATGATTGCCGTCATCGGCCCGGACTTAAAAACAGGCTCCAGCCGCGTCCGCGCGCACGACGACGATGAGCGACGAGCGACGAACCACGAGCGACGACGACGACGACGACGACGACGACGACGACGACGACGACGACGACGACGCCTGCGGACCAGACACCTATGCGGATTCCTACGCGGACACCTACGCGGATCCCAATGCGCACGGCGGCAGTGCCCGGAGCGCACTGGGGGGGGGAGCGTTACGTCATAGGGGGGGGGAAGGGGGGGGGAGCGGGGGCCATGACGCCCGTCATGCCCCAAGCAATAAAGAAACGAGAGGAGAAACGTTTCGCGCAAAAATCTTAAAATCGCGGGGGGCCGAAAACGACTGCAGCCAAACCACCAGGCCCCCTTCACACCGCCCTTCGCCCGCTCAGGGGCGCCCTGCTGCTCCAGCTGCTGCCGCAGGTTCCCGATCTCCACGGTGTGCGACCTTTTCGACAGGAAGCCGCTGCGCTCCTCGGCCGAGAGGAGGGGCTGCCTGGAGCAGGGGGTGGAGTGGGCGCTCGCCGTCTGCGCCCGCCGCAGGCTGCCGGCGGGCAGGGCAGGGCTGCTCGTCGCGCCGCCGGCCGCCATGCCGGGCGTGGCCCGTGCTGCGGCCGCAGCAGCTCGACGACGACGTCGACGACGACGGATGACGACGACGACGACGACGACACGACGACGACGACGACGACGACGACGACGACGACGACGACGACGACGGACGACGGACGACGGACGACGGACGACGGACGACGGACGACGACGACGACGACGACGACGACGACGACGACGACGACGACGACGACGACGACGACGGCGGCGGCGGCGGCGACGACCACGGCCCTCCGGCCGAGAGCCACGGGACGTGTTGACCCAAAACTGCCACGGAGCGCGAGGGGCCACGGCAACCGAACGAGGATCCTCTGAGCGTCTGGCGAGGGCGAAGACGAGGACGAGGAGGAGGACGAGGAGGAGGACGAGGACGAGGACGATCAGGAGGAGGAGGAGGAAGAGGAGCAAGAAGACGAGGAGGAGGGTGGCTGGACATGGGTCAAACGATTGGGCGTGGCGGGGACTCCTGGCACGCCGATCCGCCCTCACGTCTTCTCCCTCCCGTTTCGGCATCCTCCTCGCCACAACTGCACCGCCATCAGTGCTTCAAAACTGCCACGGATCATGTATCGCGGTTCGCCGATTGGCTGCGTTGTTCAACAGCAACAGCAATGGCCGTGGCAGCAGCGATAGCTGCAGCACCAAAATAGTAGTACCGCTGTCGCTGACAGCACAACTGGCAGTAGTGGAAGAAGCATCAGCAGCAGTTGCAACGGTTGCGGTTGTGATGATCGTTGTGGTAGTCAGCGCGTTAATAGAAAAAAAAAGGGCTTTCTATCCACGACACAAGCACCCAGGAGGGCCCGAAGTACACACATAGCATAAACTCCTTCCCCTTAGTCGATGTCCCCCATTTCGGTTTCAGTCCCTCCCGTCTCCTCTCCCCCCCTCCCGAAAACGCCATCACCCTCCTCCTACCTCCACCTCCCCTCTCCTCCCCCTCCTCCTCCATCCTCCCTCCTCTCTTCTCCTCCTCCTCTTCTTCCTCCTCCTCCTCCTCCTCCTCCTCCGCCTCCTTCTCCTCGTCCTCAGGTGGCTCTGGCCGTGGCCGAGGGGTCGGCCCGCTTGTCTCAGCCCCCAGCCGTCACCCGTGTTCAGCGGGCGTCGGTGAACATTCCCACTCGGGCGCGATCGCCCGCGCGGCATCGGCGGGCCCGCCGAGCGCGCGGGGCCGCCCGCCTGCTCTTGAGGCAGGCACGCGCCCGCGCCGTCCTCGCTGGGCATCACGGCGAACACACTGCGGGCGGTGGTGACCGCGGCGCGATGGCGCCAGGCGTTGCGGAGACCCCTCGCCCGCGGGCGGCGGCCGCAGGAGGCGCAGACGGAGCTGCGGATCGCCAGTGGGCGTGCGTCGCGACCAGGCTCTGCGGCTTCAAGACCAACTTCGCTTCGAGGTCGACGTGCTGGAAGTGTGGGCGTGACTGGCAGGGGCGCAAGCCTGCTGGATCGGAAGCACCTGCACGCACGCGGTCGGCCTCTGCTGCGGCTGATCGCCGTCGCCGTCGTGATCGTGACACTGGTGACGGAGAGCGGGCGGAGCGGGCAAGGGGCCAGCTGGAGGAGCCCCAGGCCGTGGTCCGAGCCCGCAAGGGGCTCGCCGCTCTCCGTCGCCTCAAGTATGACGATGATCACCCGCTGGTCGTCGCAGCCGCTCGGGAGGTCCAGTTCCTGGAGGCCGAGGAGCGGAAGACGCGCCCGCCAGAGGATGTGCTGCGTAGCGCCCAGGATCGCCTCGCCATCAAGTCGAAGGAGAAGCTTGACGTGGACAAGCAGCTGGCCGAGGCGGAGGAGCGCGTCGCTGCCTTGCGCCAGAAGGCCAGCGCCTTGTCGGAGGACGTGGAGGTGCTGCAGAAGGAGGTCATGGAGGCGCGGAAGGCCGTCACCATCGCCACGGCAGGGTACCAGGGCATGGACCTCGCGGCCGTGGCGACCAACCTGCTCAACCTCCAGACGCTCATCAACAACGCGGAGGGCTCGGTGGCGTCGGGCCAGGGCTTGCAGCTGCTGCAGTCGATCCACGCCGGGGTGCAGGCCATGGGGGTGGCCTTCCCTGCCTCGCGGGCCGCGGCCTTGGCAGCGGACGCCGCTGCATCGGGCCCTCCTCCGCCGAGCAGCGCTCAGGCTGCTCAGGCGCCACAGCTGGGTGGTCCTGCGGCCACAGCTGGGGCAGCGCCGCAGGCGTCGGGGGCCCCCGCAGCGGCGTTGCCGCCCGCGAGGAACGGCGTGGTCATGGGCAGTGCGCCCCCAGCGGCGGCCACGGCGTTTCGCCCTCCCCCTAGCGCCCCTGGGGGAGGACTCGGGGCAACCGCGGCCAGTGCAGGCCCACCGCAGCCTGAGCTCGCGCAGTTGGGCTAGGCATCGTGCGCCGAGGAGGGCGCGCAAGAAGCAGATCACGCTCGCCTCCTTCAACGGCTCCTGCTGGCTCAGCTGTCGGCAGTTCCTGGAGCAGAGCACGGAGGGCATCATGGTCGTGGCGGCCCAGGAGTTGCGTGTGGATGCTGGGGATCTGCAGGCAGCGACGAGTTGGGCTTCGCGTCGTGGCTGGAAGGCATATATTTCGGCGTGCCGTCGGTTGGAGTCGGGCAAGCCTCGTGCGGGAGTAGGCTTGTTCATCCGTGATTTCATATCGACACGTCTGTTGGAGATGCCCGACGGCACGCAGAGTTTTGAAGTTGTACCAGCGTGGGGTGTGGCAGTTCATGCAGATCTTGGCCTACCTGGGGGAGTGATTCTCGGCTCTATGTATGCAGAATCCGTGCCAGATCATGCGTACCTGTCTCGCAATTTTCAGAAGCTGACGCGCCTTGGGGAGGTGCTCAGGTATTACGCCAGTCCTTTTCTCATTGCTGGAGATTGGAACACCACGGCTAGTGAGCTCGAGGTAACAGGCCTCCTCGACATCTTCCCTGCCCAGTGTGTGGTGCCTAGCGGAGAGGGCACCTGTCGCTCGCCGCAGGGGAATTATCGTGCTATCGATTTCTGGCTTGCCAGTCCTTCTCTCGCGAAGGCGTGTCTGGACCCACGCTGTGCCTCAGACTGGGCGGCCAGACCCCACTTCCCCATCCTGCTCGATCTCTCGGCCCATCCTCGGGGGATGCAGCAGCTTTGCTTTCAGGGTCCCAAGGCCTTCCCCAGGCTCCCTCCCGAGTTTGCGGGATGTCACCCTTTGGAGGGCCCCCCAGAGCCCCAGCCTTATTTGGATGTCCTCGCTGAGGATTCTGCTCTTGGGGTGCCCTCCGACACGAGTCAGCTTGCTCCTAGGTTGGATGCGTTGTACGGTTCCTTCTGTTCCATGGTGGAAGCTGATTTGTGTCATATTTATCAAGTGAATGATAAGGAGCGATATCTGGGGAGGTCTGAGGGCCCTAGGTATGTTTGGCGACCCGTAGGAGGACTGCCCACCCACGGGAAGCCCGCTAGTGTGCCTGAGGCTAGGTTGTTTAGGGACATCGGTCAAGCCATAGCTGATTATGTCGTGGCCTTGGATAGGCCCCAGGGGGTCGGACTTCGGGCTCAGAGGCTCCATCGGGTTTTGAAAGCGGGGCGCATTCGTGATGTGTGCTCCGAGCGTGGCCTCGAGCTTTTTCTGGGCTTACCGTTCCTACTCGATGCGGCTGCTGCTTGCCCTTTGTCCGTAGCTATCGGCTCAAATGATTGCCTCACACACTCTTCCCCACTCTTCTTGGCGGTGTCAGACGCCGTGCATGCTCATGCCGAGTCGGTGGAGAGGGCAGCTGCGGATGCCAGGCGCAAGGCTTTCTTCAAGTGGGCCAGGGACGCGCTGATCACCTCGCCCACGCAGGTCTTCAACTACACGAAGTTGCGTGGCTGGACTCACTCAGAGTTGGGCACCAGTACGTCGGTCCAACCCTCACCTCGCTCGCGGTCACAGGCTCAGGAGGTCGCTGACGGGCAGATGGACATGTGGTGCGGCATCTGGCAGGGCACGGCCCTGGGCTCGTCGGCGCCTGGTGCCGAAGGGGCGGACCCTGAGTTCGATGTTTGACATCTTTTGCCAGCTGAGTCCTATGGATGTGAATTGGCTGCACTGCTTCGAGATCTGCCTTCTGACCACCTACCTGTGCCGAAGGTGGCTGACGTCAGGCGAGCTGCGCGGAGTTTCTTTGGCGCACGGGTACTGGCCCCGATAAGCTGTCTCCTCGGGCGATCTCGCTATTGGGTGACTTCTTGGTTACCTGATGTGGGCCATCGAGACGTGACATCGGTGGCCTACGCAGATGATGATGGCGCACATTGTGCTCCTCAGCAAGGAGGGCGGGGGCTGTCGCCCGATCGCGCTCCTGCCCTCGGTCTACCGTGTGTGGACCAAGCTGAGACTTGTGTACGTGCGGCGCTGGGCACGGGATCACGCGCGCCCCTACTTCGCCATGGGAGTGAAGAAGTGCACAGTCGATGTGGCGGCGAGGCTGCTGGCGCGGCTAGAGGCAGCCGCTCGTCACCCTGATCTAGCAGTGGTCACGGCACTGGTGGATATCAACAAGTGTTTCGATCGAGTACCGTGGCGTAAGCTCGTTGTGGCTGCTCAACGCTACGGTTTCCCGACGACGATCCTTCGCATGGCTCTGCTCATGCACCACGCACCTCGTCGGCTGTCGTGGGCAGGGGCCTTTTCATACGCCGCGACGGTGCTTCAAGGCGTGCTGCCAGGTTGCACTGACGCGATGTTTTTCTTGCAGCTGTTGTTCCTGGAGCCTCTGGACGCGTTCATGGAGGAGACGGCTCGGCTGCCTCGTAGTCTAGACGTCTACGCGGACGACCTCACGCTGCAGATTGTCATGAAGCGTGTGGACATCATCCGGGTCTCGGCGGAGACGCTGGCGCTGCTGGCGGACACGCTACGGGACCTGGAGCTGCCGATCGCGGTGAGCAAGGCTAAGGTGGTGGCCACGGACGTGCCGCTAGCCACCGCGGTCGCCCGTCGCGTTCAGAAGCATGGCTTCAAACCCGTATCCGTTCTCAAGGTGCTGGGCATGGAGGTCGCTGGTGGCAGAAGGCTGCGCTACGGTGTAGTCGGGAAGCGAGTGCGTCAGGTGACGGCGCGCGTGCCACGTTTTCGGCGCCTGCGCGGGCTCAGGACGAAGGAGTACAGGCAGATCACCTCTCCGCCCCTAGGGCCTGGCATGACGTACGGGC